TCAGAGTCGTCCCTTGTTGGTTCGGTTTTACTGCAAGAGGAAAGCTAAACTAAACTAATTTTGTTTATCCTGGATAGTTCTATCAGTTGTAAGCTATTTTCCCCAGAGGTCCAGTAAGACTCATTCCTTGTCCTTGTTTGTCTAGTATTGCTACAAGAGGAAAGTTAAACTAAACTAACTTTATTTATATATATACTGGATAGCTCTATCGGTTCTAAACTGTTCTCCCTAGAGGTCCAGTAAGGATCATCTCTTGTTGATCCAGTATTACTACAGGAGGAAACCTAAACTAAACTAACTTTATTTATCAGGTCGGATAGTTCTATCAGTTCTAAACTGTTCTGAGTGTTCTCCCTGAAGAATCAGAGGCACAATAAGAAACATTCGTGCAGGGTGCTTTAAAAGTATTGTTTTTTTTTACAACTAAATCCGAAATTTGGGAACATCCTTACCATAACACGACTTTTCGTGGGTTAAAGCTGGTGGATTTTTGGAACACAGCATTATTTTTTCTAAAATGTTCTGAGACTTGAGACCGTTTGCATTTCCACTTAATCCAAATTCAAACAATTCAATGCCATTTAAATTGGACGAAATATCAACAACTGCATCTAATTGAAACACATTTTTAAAACAGTTTTAATAGTTATTATCATAAACGTAGTATAATAATAATAATAATAATAATAATAATAATAATAATAATAATAATAATATAATAGTGGGTTTATTAATACACGTTCAATGGCAAAAAGCTAAATTACAACGTGTTTACATCGTCAGATATTAATTAGAATTAATTAGAATTATTACTTATTTAAATGTATATTCCACAACTAACTGTTGTAGTTTGTGTCTGAACTACCTGAAAAAGATATCTCGACTATGGTGTTTAAAAAACGTGATCCTTTATTTCGTTACTTTCTAACTTTTGAGTTTTGTTTAATTTTACGTAATTTATTCCTGATTTATTTTAATTTTGGGATAGGTAATAGGACCTTTACATGCGTCTGGGATCTCTCGTTTGTGCCTTATTTATAAGCATTATTTATTTAATGGATTTCTTATATCTTCAGCGGGGTTTGGAAAATAGACCATGCCGTGAAATATTGTATATTTATAATGCGTTTGCTGTTTTGTGTTTTTGTATCTCAATCTCTGATCTCAATCCATCAATGGAGAAGTTCCCCCCCCCCCCCCCC